AATATAATAAAAAAAAAAAAAAAATTTTAAAAAGCCAATAAACTCACTTTTAATACTAATTGAAATAGAGTATGGTTTCACTTTTAAGTGTGCCATTACTAAAAAAAAAAAACACAAAACCAACAAACTAATAAATTAAGCACAATTGCAGTGTTATTTACAGTTTTAGAGCTGGGAATATACAAGGTATTTGGGCAGGCTCTTGAGCGACTGTGATTCTGTGTTGCCCTGTGACTGACTGTGTCTGTTTGCTAGAAAGTAATGTTATTGTCCCTCACAACTGGCTTGCAAAATCTGTTTGTCTTAGATGAGAGTTTGAATGGAGTTATTTGACTATTTAGCCAAAAGGTCTTTAAATATTTCTCAGACTTCTGAATATCTTTTATTTTTCAGGTGTCTGGTTATCAACTAGTTTTTACTTCCAGGAATTACAAACCCACTGAAATTGTCCCTCAAGTCATGTGATGATAATTGTTTCACTTTCACTTGTGCTTTTTTCCCCGCTGCAAAAGCTTAACGAGTACCTTCCTAACTTCTTAAACAGTTCCTTCTGAAGTTGTCGCACTGGACATAACTGATACCAAGGCTTGCCTCCTAGTAGGACCCCAGCAATTTTGTAAATTTAGTAGAAAGAAGAAAAACATTCCAGTTCATTTTACTCTGGATTTGTTGCCTTTGCAATACTATAAAATAGTTCTGTTAAATAATTTATTGTCACTATATTAGCCATGTAAGTTTGAGTAGACCTATTTTAACCTTTCTTCAGTTAAATCTGCCGCTTTTCATGTTCACTTTGCTGATTTCAATACTGTTGTATGATAGCAGCATACAACAAGGACAGACCTATGTGTAGGAAAGTGCTTTTTTTCTCCATCTCTCCATTTATTTATCAAATTTTGCACCCCTACTGGTTTTATATTCCATGTTGTATCTTTGAGAGGAAAGAAAGAAATTCTTGATGAGTAAGAGAATGAACCCTACTGAAAACTGTTCTTCTGGTAACATCATTATTGTACTGGAGGAAGCAGTACCATAAATGGAAAATGGATTATTGAATTTTCTGTTGTATGTACTGTATTTTATTGAAATTACAGGCACTGTGCCTGTGTTCAGGCACTTTTAGTTTCTTTTTTTCTATAACTTATGGTGGAAGTAAAGCAGTTGGGATTCAGTTGTCACTGTGATAAACAGTGGCAGTTTTATAGATCTCGTTTAGACAGCAAGAATGGACTGGACACCCTTTATATGCTGACTAATGAATTTCATTTTGCCTGCTTTTTTGTGCCTAAAAATAGTTCACTATTACAATGGGAGCATGAAGTCTGTCTTGATTAAGATTGTGTCCTTATATTGTAACTTAATACACTGCTGGGAGATTTGAATTCAGAGTAATTTAAAGACCACAGGAGCACTGTGAGAAGCATGCTTGGAGATATATTTTGACCATACATCTGTATCTGTATGAAATGATTTTTTTCTTTTCTTCCTCCTGTTATTTTTCCTTGTTTTGGTATAGCCATTTTAGTGAACATTATCACCCTCTGTCTAAAGCGATTGGTCACCTAGCAACTGTCGACTGTCTGTTTTCATTGGCCCAAGTGGCTAAACAAGGAGACTACTGCAGGTAATAAATTTTTAAGTGTTATTTAAGATTTTATAGGAAATTGTAAGAGAGTATTTTAAATAAATTTGATTTTAATATGTGTACTATGATAAAATGCATTATTGAATTTGTTCACAGTAGTTTCAACTTAATCTCATTTTACAAAAATCACTTCTGGACTTAATGCAATTCTGTAAACGTTGCAGTACAAATTTGACATCTTATGTTTGTCTGTTGTTTGTTTGACTTGAGTCTAGTAGGTGATATCTCACTTATGTAGAAATATATGTTGGACTTCACATGGAAATATTTTTTCTCCTGTATTTTTTGTCTTAGCAAGCAGTGAATTTATGTTGTCTAAGATGTATGTGATATGTTTCAAAGATGTATTTCATGTAAGTAATAAGTACAAAATAGTACCAACTTTCAGAGGTTTGGTGATTCCTCACCTAGGATCCTGTGTTAGATCTGATGAGCTGTGCACCTCCCTCTGCCCAAGACCCACACACACTGGTTCCTGCAGCCTGGGACTCTGGTAGTGCTGTGTCTGTCCCCCCTCCTCTTTGCAGTGGGGAGATGTAAACCCTCAAGTCCTGCTTCACCAAAGGTTAGTCCAGAGCTGGCTCCTGAGCTTGTACACCCTGCAGCTCGGGTTTTCCTCCCTATCATGAACCTGTATCTCCTACACTCACACAGACAGACAGTCAGTCTCACTGGGGTGCCTTCCTCTATAGCATGAGGTCTCTGTCCTCAAAGGCACTGGGCACTCACTCAGCCACTGCTTCAGCTTGACAAGTGCTGCCTCAGATGCCAACACTTTCTGAGGTTTAGATACCCCTTCAGTGGCTGTTGTCTTCCAGTCCTCAGCTATTGCCTTTGCCAGAAAGTCCACATACTCTCTTTTGAAGAGTGCTGTGTGCTACTTGTAAAATGTTGTAATTGTGGGGCTGCGCTTGCAAGTGCTCAGACAATTGCTTAGGAGTAACCATATGAATTTGAGACCTGTGGAAATACAGCAAATTATGTAGTAAATATATGTGGATGAAGGCAAATCAACTTATGTATGCTTCTGCTTTTATATAATATCAAAGATAATATTGATCACTTCTGGACTCTTGGGATCTTGTGTGCCTCTATCAGAATCTCTTTGCAAGTTCAAATTGCTCACTTATTTCTGTGTACTTAGATGAGAAAACAGACTGAAATCTGATTAGCTCACTGTACAGAGTGTAAAAAATTCACTGAATTTTTAAGAGTGGCTTAGAGCTCATAAACTGGCAGGAAGGAGACCTTAGTGAAACTTTAGCTGGAGGGAAGGTGTCAATAATTTAATTTTAGAGTGCTACTGAAGGAAGGATGGACTTTCATATTAACTAATTTGACTATTTTGGAGGAATGTTTTTTGATTAAGTGAGAACTGCTTCATGTCAGCCTACCTGAGACAGACAAACGAGTCAGGAATTCAGGAGCATAGGTGTTCTGCAGAGTTGTTGGCAAGAGGTAAGCACTTCTTGCAGTTTCAAGGCACCTCAGGGCCACTGTGCTGCGAGACTCATCCCTTACATGGACAACATCGGGGGTCTCAGGCAGACAAGTTAGATAACTAAGGATGATGGTGTAGGTAGCCCAGAGATCATCATCTGATGTGTGTGCATCCACTCTGGAGGCTGTGAATTTGTTTAACTTTCAGGAATGCTATTGAAAAGGTTGTACCTGACTAAAGGACATGTTACACATTCCAGATAAATTTACCTTCCCCCCCCCCCCGCTCTTACTGTATGACACATAATTGTCTGATTGTGGGAACACAGGGCAAGGGAAGACCTTTTGAATGATTTGGCCTGAGGGCCTACTTCTGCAGGCCCCATTGACTGAAAGTGGAACAGTCAGCAAGGCTCATGGCATCCTGTTTCACAGTTATGTGGAAGAAGGCTTGAGCCGTTAAAAAAAGAAAATTGTTTCCAAAGATGAGGACAAGATTAGAAAGCAGCAAATGAATCATTTAGCTGTTGTCTGCCTTTCTTGAATGCAAAGTAGAAAGGTACAGGAGAAAGTGCTTCTAGGTCTGTGCTCCTACCTTTTCAGACCATCACGTTACAGCTCCAAAAACTTACCATGCAGCAATTGGAGGGTGACATTTCCTTTCTTTATCACCAAGGCCTAAGTCTCTGTCTGTATAGGTTTCACCTCAGCTATTCAACTGCTGGAAATATCTTTATCCTAAAAAACCCACACCATTATCAGCTTGCACCTTTTTCCCCAATGCTTTGTGTTCCTAATAGGCCATTTGTTTTACCTCTGTTTTTTTTCAAATTGCATCATCATTCTTTAGCTCAAGAAAAATCACACACCCCACATCTTGTCTTCCTTCTAAAGTCTACCCAAAGTGTGTGTTAGTTAATTTCCAGTCAAAAATTTCTGAGGCTTTATTCCAATATTCTCTTTTTCTCAGCTACTGCCACTTTCCTAAGTTACTGCTCTTATTTCGAGTTATTTTACACAAAAATGTTGCTGAAACATGAAACCACATTTACGTCTCCACTGAATGCTGCACTTCAGTTTATGATGAAAAAGTAAGCCTAGGTTGCAGAGAACAACAAAAAAATACTCATAGTTCAGTGGAACAAGCTTTTTTTTTTCAGCTTGAATTATGCATGTTATATTAGTAGACTTGTGGACAGCTAAGGTGAAAGCATTTGAGACAGAACTACTTTTTACATGGTTTGGAGATGAGAGAAAAGTAGTAAATAGTATTGATCTGATTTGCATATTAATTTCTCAACAGGTACTGGCATTGCAGTGTTTCAACTTAATAAGCTCTTTCTATGGACAGTTACTGTTTGATGACTCCTGCAGATGTTAGGGAGTTGCTGTCAGGTTATGAGAGCTGCTAGTGTTCATAGAAGAGTTACAGTTTTCTTATACTGTAGTCTTTGTTTTGCATCATTTAATGTGTTATCAGTAATAATATACATAGTTGGACAATTTTCTTTACTCCCCACTTGTCAGTTAGGACTTAATGCTGTGACAGGCTGGACCAGTTAATTAGCAAGATCATTCTGAGAATGTGAAATGTATCTGTAAAATGTGGCCCTTTGCAGAAGCTGATATGGTGGGGAGAAGAAAACTGTCCTCCAGTTCAGGGGTTTTGCTATTGATTGTTCATTTTGTAGTTCTTAATAGTTTTTTTAGAACTATTAAACACATAAGGGACTGAAACCATTCCCTAGATAATGAAAAAATGAAGAAAATACTCTAAAATTTCTTTCAATCTTTTTTTTATAACTGAATGAAACCAAGGAAGACTTTAGAAGTATTTGGTACCAATAAGCCATTTTTGTTATTCGTACTTTTTCACACAAATTTGCATCAGAGATGACCCTCCTGCATGCTTTAGTTAGAGTAGTTCTAAGTAATCAGTTACAATAAACATCTAAATTAATGCCTCTTCCTTTTTGCAGACCAACTGTGGAAGGTAGTCGGAGAGAAATAATTATAAAAAAAGGGAGGCACCCTGTGATTGATGTATTACTGGGAGAACAGGATCAGTATGTTCCAAATACCACTAACCTTTCAGTAAGTACTGAGTTACTGTTTGAGCTTCACAGTCATTCAAGGGAAGGAATCTGGGATTTGCTTCTTGGCCTGGAAGTTAAAATAAATAATTTAATCATACAACTGTCAGCTTGGTTGCATTTCAGAGAGATTGCTAAACACGAACACATCCATTTTGTCTTTCTTCTCACATCTTGCAGCCAGATGGTCTGTTTACAACCTTTTCAGCCTTAATGGCATAAAGGAAGGTGATTTCAAAATTAGGAAAATGAAAGTTTTAAGTGGTTATTTTTTAAAAACAAATTAATAGTTACATTTTTTTAACTTATCATCAGGAGTCTGCTTTTTGAAATAACTGTCTCAAATTTGTGGAGTTTTTTAATATACAAAATAGCAACAGCTTCGGTTTCTGTGTAACGTGTTACAGGCTTAGTTTTCCAAATTAATTCTGAGATAGCTCAAATGTTTTGGGTTTTTTTTTAGATATTTCTCTGCTATGTGTTTTCCTATCTGGAAGTATTCATTTCATACAGCCTTTCTTAATCTAACGATGCAGACTTGGAGCTCTGACTTTTCACTATGTAGTATCAAGTACACATTCTGTAGACTGCCCATTAATTGTAAGAAGCCTTTCATATTAACCTATGATAAAGTTTCCCCCCCCAAGATGTAGCTTGCAGGCTGTATGCTGCCCATAAGTGTCTATCTGACTGTTGTTTTCTGCAATAGAGAATGACATTGAGAAGTAGTAAGAGTATTACTTGATTGGTATTGTTGTCAGTGCTACTTAACATTTTCTAGGCAATGTTACCTAAATTATATGACCTAAATTACCTAAAATTGCTATAAATATGCAATTGCTATAGGTAGGAAACATTGCCTTATTTTATTTCACATATCTGGTTCTGATAAGTGTATTTTAGTTTGTTTACTTGTTCATTTTTTCCTGAAAAACTAAACCTGTCTGTTAAAATTACATGTCCTTTTGACATTTTTTGTTATTTACCTGCCTACATATTTTTTTAAATACTACATGTCTTCTCTTAATGAATATAAAAATATAATTGCAACTTAACTTGGAATATGTAACTGCCCCTTCTTACTGTAAATATAGAAAAGATATGAAACAGATGTCAGTATGGAGCATTGCTGTGATAAACACCATTCAAATTTGTATATATTTTTCGGGAAATATTTTTAAATTCTGTTCTATCCTGAACAATGATACAGTTATTCTGCATTACTTAAGGAAATGTTTTGAAAATTATTTGTCAACTCCAAATGGATGACAGATGGCATTTACAGAAAATTCAACATTTCATTCAGTAATCATCGTGCACTTTCGCCTGTTATTCCCATTCTTATGTTGGCTTTCTAAATACTGAGTATTACAAAATCAAGTGATCGTGGTACAACCACTCTTGCCTCTCGTGTTGGTTTGAATTCTCTTTTTTTGAAAGAGGTGAGTGGGAACCCAGTTTATTTAAATGCCTCTAGTTTTAAACTGATGTGTTTGAGTCAGCATGAAAATGCATCTCCTGTCATGTTTTCAGCTGAAATGTTGTCAGATATGTAACTTTAGGAAAAGCTTTCTTACAGTGCCCTGAAATAAACATTTTATTCTTCCATTCCTCCTCTCACCTCCAAATATTCATGGATTCCTTCAGTACTTTTAACTTCAGCCATAAATTCCAATAAGATGTTAGCTGTTGATTGCATGCAATTGTAAGATAGATGGGTTCTCTGATCTGATGTTACAGCATATGGTCTTTCTGAAAGCTGGCTTTGCAACCAGCCACCAGCCTCACAGTGTGCTTGGAGAGACACTGGAGACATACTCAACACAAGCAAGAAATCTATGGATTTTAACAGATTAACTCGTTCTGGGTTTAAGTATCTGTATGTTCTGTTGTGTTGAGCCAAATGGTAGCCCTGACAAGGTTTTAGTAATGATATTGAAACTATACCTTGGAGACTAGAAAGTTATGAATTTTATTCCCATATAGTCATATGCATTTTATTACATCCATCCTTTATTCTTGATAATGGCTTTTATGGGTTCTGACTTTACTGCACCTTCCTTATGGATGAGCATTTCTTCACAAAAGCTAAACAGCTTTTTACATATAATAAATATCGATTGCATGTATCTTCTGTATGATCTAGAGTATGACATCAGTGACATTCCTATCTGAATTTTATTTGCCTCCCTGTTAACAGAATGAAAGCCTGATTGAAAAACAAATCTATAAAGATTATGATGTTACTTCTGTGGAGTTTTCTGTTGTTGTCACAGTGCCTCATCAGTTCCAAGCTTCCTAAGAACCATGGCTAATACTCATTTTGCACAGTTTGTCTTTTCTTCCATGCTCCTCCAATGGGGCAATGGAGTATGCTGACTTTTGGTTAGTTCTTCAGTTGTTGGATTTCATTGTATGTACTCAGCAGAAAGGAAAAATCTAGTTGCACAAAGTCCTTGCATAACTTAATTTCCTAGTCTTGATTCAGGCTATGAGAAAGCTTTATAGATTCATTAAGGCATTTCAGTTTTGTATATGCAATTGTCTTGCACTAGAGGTAGACAGTTTTATGCTGGAGCCATAGACATGTACCAGTACTGTATGGAGCTGAGATGAGCTCTTGCATTTGAATTCATTTTCCATAGGATTTCAGTGGTTAGATATACTGATCAGAGATTGGATACAGTCTGCTCTCGTATCTGTGTTGCAGTCAGGTATTGCCAAACTTGGCAAGGTCTTGTTTTCTTATTGTAGCCAGTCTGTTTGAACTGCTTATGTTGTACCAAGGCAAGCAATTATTAATGGGTGTAAAATCTCTGTCAGGTCTTTGTCTGTCAGATCTTCTCCCTGTTATACCATGAGAGCTCTTAACTGGAGTGGAATCCAGTTCACAACCAAATTAGGATGACACTGGCTATGCTGAAAGCTGATGAGTTTCTTCCTTTCTCAAAAGAAAATTGGACAGAAAGTTCTTGGAGTGCTTTCTTGGCTCCTTGATGGAGAAAGAGAATGTAGCCCCTCACTCTGTCCATTTTGCTCAAGAGTAATCCACGTTGATTGTGATGCTTCTCTTTTACCAGCCTGAAGAGGTCTCAGGAAGATTTACACATCTGAGACTTCATAATATCTTGAAAAGTGAATGTGATGAACTCCAAGAATGAAGGAAGCCTTTCATCTGGAAACAGAAGATTTAATCCTGAGGAGTTGTCCTATATCCCTCTAAGCACATGCACACAGCAGACTTTCTTATGAAAGACCCTTGTGCAGAACAATATATTTGACCACTGTTTCATGTTTTCAGGGAGATGGCGAAAGGGTCATGATAATAACTGGACCCAACATGGGAGGAAAGAGCTCCTATATAAGGCAAGTTGCATTGATCACAGTCATGGCACAGATTGGTTCTTATGTTCCCGCAGAGGAAGCAACAATTGGTGTTGTGGATGGTATTTTTACCAGGTAAGCTTTCAAAATTTGCTGTATTTTATGAAAACATTATTATGGTGGATGTGTGTGTGTATATCTAAAGTATAATTTCATATTTCATTTAGAACTTTAGAATTTATACTTGGAAGTTTTCATTTTAAATAGGTATGTTGGTGGTTAGGTTTTGATGATTATTTTCTGGTAAGCTATAGTATTTGTTTTGGAGTCTTTGAATTTAGAAAGGATAAGAATGTTAATGTGACTGTCTTGATTAAGATCCAGATATCTTAACTTCATCTGCCTGAATAGGCATCTCAGCTGAATTTATTCTGCTGGGTGATAGCCAAATGATGTTTCCACTAAAATGAGTGCTGTCCTGTCTAAATATCATGTCACAGTTTCTGCTGTGCAGTGCGGTTGTATATACTCACAGTATCTGAGACTGAGAATTTAGGGCTGCATATATTCTATGCTTACTATCCTTCCTGTACTATCAGTCTTGAACACACTTTACCTGATGTCTTTTAAAGGGCTCATAATGGCAGTTTGTTTCACTCAGTCTAATTTTTAAGGTAACACAAATAATTTTTAAAGATTATCAGTACAGTCAAAACTTTTGTGTTTTATAATCTAATATTACCAAGGATTATCCATCTGTCTTTTCCCTTTTTTCTTTAATCTATTTTTTAGTCAGCCAAAGTTCTGTGTTACTGATGGTATTGACCCAGTTGTAGCTTTCCTTTCAGTACAAATGTTTAGGAGAATACTTGCATCATGCTTTTGCTTCAACCTGTGAAGTATAGGACCTTTCCTTGCTCTACGTATCCAACTAATGACAACCGTGCTTGTCAAGTAGGTCAGTGCCCTTTTCTGCCCCGCTGTATCTAGTTGTCAGGAGCCACAAAGTGCTCTTCAGTGCCCAGCCTGGTGTTTGCCTAACTCCTGCTTCATTTTCGCCTTCTCCACGTCATGAACTTCACCTTCAGCAATGAGAAAAGGAGTAACTTACCAGCTTCTGCATCTCAGAGGCTCAAGGTGCATAGAGACTGTCCAGAAAGCAGGCACCTCTGTTTTGGTTTGATTGGGTTTTTTTCAGGGTTTTGGGAAGGTCTATACATATGCAAGTCTGTCTGGCCAGGTTAATGTGGTGTTTCATTCATGGTATTTCTTAGCCCTAGGAAGTTAGCCTTGTAATAGTTTTTAATACCTGGTTGGAGGAGAGAAACAATAAATTCAGCTGACGCATGACATGTCTTACATTGTTTCTGTAATGACCTGGCTGAACCTACATTTCTAAAGTCTTAGCTTTTGCCAAGAACTCTCCTCTGGTAGGGAATGAGCTTGTAGAGATGAGAGGTTTTCTAATTTTTTTTAATCACTTTTTTCTCACTCATCCCCATCTTGCTTTTTTTTTTTTTCTTTTCCTTCTGTGCTTCCTTTTGGGAGTTGTTTTGCTTGTTAGTTTGTTGATTGATTGGGGTTTTTTTTAATAAGATGCAGCTATGCAGACCTGCTTTCTGGACTGCCACCCCAGGCCACAAGTGTCTTGCTGGAAAATGGGATTTTTAATTTTTTTAATTGATGACTTTGGTATATTTTTAATCTTTTAAAAACATTGCATGAAAAGATGTCAGATTCCAAGTTATTCTCATCACTGCTATAGTGTGTTGTTTTCTATATGCCGCTATTAGTGGAGCACCCCTGCTGTGAGGGGTGCTTTACAGGCTGACTCTATGAGGAGTTCTGTGCATCAGGAGCATCAACAGTTCTGCTGCTTGCTAATTGTTTTGGAATATTAGTGGTTTATACTGCAATCTCCTTTTTGTCTGTAGACAGCATTTTCGAAGTGTGAATTTACATAAATTTAAGAGATTAGCACTCATCTAGGATTTGTATCGTGTTCTGAGTAGGGTTTCCATGGAAATTGAAAGGTTGCTACTATGGTTATTCCTTTGGATATATTTAGTAGTTATGTATTATAGCTTCTCTAAATTGACTTTAAATACTACATTATATTAAACGTTTTTAAAGATGCGAAAGATAGGCTTGCTTACAGGTACAGTGGAAATAGAAATTATTCATCTTCATTAACCAGGTGTATAGACACAATACAGTGCTAAGGCTAGGCCAGACATTTCAGAGTAGCGTTGCTGATTTCATCCCAAGGAGGGGGAAAGGGAGAGAACCTTCCACTGCAGAATGCCCCTAAGCCCAGATGATAAACTGTAACAAGTCTGTAAA